CGCGGTAGGGTAACCCGAATGGGGGAAAGGTCATTTTTTTTTTTTTTTTTTTTTTTTTCTACCTCCTGATCTGGCAAGGAAAAAAAAAAAAAAAAGCACAAACGATGACGAAAATACATAAATAAATAAAAAAAAAAAAAAAAAAAAAAACTACAAAGCGTTTTATGATGACATGCAAGCGAAATAACGCGGAATATTTCAAAGTGAACGTGAATTTCCAAAGTGATACCTCGCGATAATAATAAAAGCGAAGTATATATATAGCCAAGCAGCGAGAGAACGCGAACCAAGCGAATTAATCACAATTTCGCATGTCATTAAGTGCAGATTAGGCTGAGCATGAAACACGCGCAAGCGCATCCGTACGAGAGTTACAGATCGGAAGGCAGAAAAGGAGAAGCCAAATTGGCGAACTGACCTGTATATTATTTATACACTGCGCACAGCACGAAGGTTTCCACTCGTTGTACGCGCGTAAAAAGAGAAGAGGGGGCCCGTCCGCTAATGCATATCACAACACGCATGCCAACACGCCTAACCCCATACGTCCTTTTCCTACGCGTGTATTATTACAAAACCGTTTGGCAAAGAAACCTCAAGATCGAACATTACATCACCTCAATGAAACCAAGGAGTGAAGCCCATAGTTCTCACTTACGCCAGCCCGAATAGTCTGTTCACCATTTTTTTTTTTTTTTTTTTTTGCTACCAAGATAAGAGACAACGAGAGAGAAAATTATAAAATCACACCTTCGGAGGTGCAACGAAAAAAAGTAAAAAAGCGCAAGGGGTGAAAAGAGGCACTAGACGAATTCTCAAGCAATCGTCAGGGGGGACAAGCACAGAACACACAAACGGAAACAGTGCTCCCATTGGGGAACGCCTTCAGTGCGACAAATGAGGCAAATAAAACAAAACGTGTGCCATGTGTTTACACCCTGATATTTTTTGCCCATGTAAATTTCCCTTCGCACCGCGCCCAAGTGAAATAGCTGCTCAGAAAGGCTTTTAAAGACGATCCCATACTACACACGAGGAAAACAAGTCGGTTGCTGTTACCTTCCCCACACCCACACGCAGGAAAAACAGCTCGATAACAACCCATATGCACAGGCGAATGTGTGTAAGGTAGCTAGCTGACCGTTTATTAGCCACTGATAAAAAAAAAAAAGCGCAATCGCAACAGCGGTGTGACTCCAAATAAAAGAGTAACCCGAACTCTCACCCACACATCCCCTCATCAAAAATGAAGAGCGTAAACGATTTCATGCGAAAAGTAAACGACGTGGAAAAAATGAAAAGATATGTATCAGATCACAGCGCGTCGATCAAAATTTACTGCTTTTTCCTGCTGATTGTATTTGTATTTTACCACTTGTGTTCCGATGGAGACTTCTCGTTCCTGTTAACCTTATCGTCAGTGATTAGCATGTTCTCCTTCCTTATGGTGTTTGTGAAGATCGAAATGAACAAGTCTTGTGCAGGGGTGTCTCTGAAGATGATGGAATGCTACGTCGTCCTGAACACGGCCAGGCTGTTCTCCATCGTACCATTCGAAGGATACCTACCTTACGACAAAAGTGGCGATTGGCTTTATCAACTGGTCGAAGCCATTTCGCTGTTCATAAATTGTTGTATTGTGTACCTGTGCAGATATAAATACAAAAACACCTACGACAGCACGAACGATATTTTTAACAACCTCTTTTTAATCATCCCCGCCTTTGTCATTGCCATTTTCGTGCACCCCTCGCTGAACTCCTTTTTCCCGGCTGACGTAAGCGCAGAGGAGACATACAGCAGACAGCTGCAGCGGAGCGGCAAAGACATAAGAAAATTTTAACGTGTGAAAATATACACACGAAAACATCCTCCCCACCCCATTCCAACCTTGCAGGTCGCCTGGTCCTTTGCCCTGTACCTGGAGTCCGTGTGCGTGCTACCGCAGCTGTCCATGTTTCAGAAGGAGGTAAAAAAGGAAGCCAAAAATAATAAAAAAAAAAAAAAAAAGGGAAAAATACCTGCACTGTTCAGGCGATTTGGCGTTCATATTTGGCTACCTTTTTTTTTTTATTTCCCCCCCACACGCGTAACCCTTGCGAGGCGAAATTATCACTCATTTTCTCTTCTTCCCCTCCCCCTTTCAGGGCAAAGTGGCAGCTTTTACCACCCACTTCTTGGCCTCACAAGCCTTTTCAAAGGTAACCCCTTTATGGTGTGAATGTGTGTGTAAAAATTGCATTTTTTTTTTTTTTTCACCCTCATATTGCTCCCCGCTTGACTTTGCATTTCCCCCCCCCCCCTTTTTTCGTGTCCACCCCTTAGGTTTTGTCTTTTCTCTTTTGGATAGTATCACATAAGGAGTTGAATTCCTCGGACAACGTCGTAAGGACAAAACATGCATGCGGGTTGCGTTTCCCCTGTTTTGACGCGGCGCACACATTGTTTCCTCTTCATCAGTGCTTCCACGCGGGTGTTAACATGTCTTCCACTTTTTTTATTCACCCCCTTGTACAGATCAAGTCATACGTCGGTGTGTGGGTCGTAATCATGCAAATCGTCCAGCTGGTGCTTATGGGAGATTTTATATATCACTACATTCGATGCCTGAGCAAGGGAGTCTCCTTTGACAATCTGTTAAATGAAAATGTGTGAAGAAGGTTTTTTTCTTCTCAACGAGGAGGAAAAAAAAAAAAAAAAAAAAAAAAAACGTTAGAAAAACGTTAAAAAAACAAAAGTTATGGAAAGAATTTTTTTTTTTTTTTTTAATCACAATTTTAACTGCCTTTGAGAGAAGCACTAGTAGCAATTCAGTCAAGACCGCGTCGCATATGTGCTATACGTGTAAGAGTTCCCCGATTTGCAAAAAGAGAGATACGAAAACACTACCCATTCAAAAGTGAAGGCACGAAATGTTACGAAGACGCAGAACAATACAAATGCTATGCAGTGAGGGGAAGACGTGCCTGAAAGAGAGAAAAGAGAGAGGGGGTGGGGTGGGGTACGTATGTTTGTTTCGAGGGGTCTACAATTTTAACCCATATTTTATTATCCATGCACGCTCATCATAAAAACCTCCTTTTGGTGCATGATTGACTTCCCCCTCCCCCCTTTTTTTTTTTTTTTTTTTTTTTTTTTTCTCTCTCCCCCCTTTACATTTTAACGTTACATTTTACCTCTTTGCACACACATGTGATATATTTGTGTGTGTCCATCTTGATGTAGGTGTCCTTGAACGTTGTTGTGATGTTGCTGGGCACGCACTGCTCTGTGTCGGCGTTGCGTCCCATGCGTGCATTTTAAAAAAAAAATGTTTTCCTATCTTAGCAGTTCAGCGATCGGAGGGATATGTAAGCACGTGCATGGTACAATACATTTATGTATACCCATGCCGTGTATGTGTGTGTGTGTTGTCCCCTGCTCTCCCCTTCTTTTTTTTTTTTTTTTTTTAATTCCCTATTTCTCTCCACTTGACCATTCACCCCATGTAACCGAATCGGTTGTTTGTTTTTCCTTCATGTATGTGTAGTCCATGTGCACTTCCAAGAGTATGTGTATGTGCATATATATGTGTGTGGGACAAAAAAAAAAAAAAAAAACAAAAAAACAAACAAATGAGGATATTTTTTTTTTTTTTCCTGTTTTTATATATGTTACTTTTTCATCCCTCTCCCGTCTGTTCTTCCACTTCGCTTCTTTCCTTTTTTTCCTTTTAAAACAACTTAAATAAAGTCTCTTGCCCCTTTCGTTAAATTATATCACTTATCAAGGCGTTCGTGCGTGTGTACCTCACAAGGGTGAAGCACCGAAGGAGTATTTGTAATTATGTAGCGGTGGTGTATGCGATGCGGTGTTGCCAATCAGGAAGTGGAAACTGCGTTTGTCCTACGCACCAGTTGTTCATGCAGGAGTGTGGGAGACAACAGGGTCTGCAAATGGAGGGGGGGAAACTTGTGCTCATTTTGGCTTTTCATTTTTGAGGGTGACCCTCTACAGGAAAAAGGGAAGCATATTCTCTCGTGTGCGCTTACCACTCCATTGGAACAAAAATTGTGGTGTTTTTTTTTTTTTTTTTTTTTTTTTTTTTTTTTCCTCTTTTTTCTACGCAAGGGGGAAATTTTGATGGTGCTTAATGTACTTGATGAGGGGCACCACGACGAGGTGCGCAACATGGGGACGAAGTTGAAGCGGCCTTCCCCATCCGGACTTGCAATTAACAAACTGTGTTTACCGCACAGAGAGGGATATTATTTTTTTTTTTTTTTTATGAGTGTACTCATCGAAGAGGTGAAAAAAAAAAAAAAAAAAAAAGAGAGTCATCTCAACGGAGTGTCAATTTTGTGTGGCGTTTTTGTAGGCCTCTCCCCCCTGCGGTGACCTCCCACGGAGGAAGAATCTCCAACCGACACAGTTATTCAAAAAAAAAATGTTTATCATTCGTAAGCGGTACTTTGGCTTTACCCATGGCTTAGGCGCTATCAATAGGCGGCTGTACAAGGAGGTCCCCATCTGCGCCTTCCAGAAGAGGTAGTGACTCAACGCGGTGTGGTTATGCGGCTGTGTAATGGGTTATCGCTTCATTGAACGTGTAGTAGCCGCTTCACCGCTTCACCACTTCACCACATCCGCCCTGTTCTCTCCATTCATATGCAGACCGTTCAGCACGAAGAACTTTTACGAAATCCTAAACGTGCCACGAAGCAGCAGTAAAAATGAAATAAAGCAAGCGTATCGCAAGCTGGCCCTGAAGTATCACCCAGACAGAAACCCCAACAACAGAAAAGAATCGGAGAAAATGTTCAGGCAAATAACAGAAGCATATGAAACGTTAAGTGATGAAAATAAAAAGCAAATGTATGACTGTCAACTGAATAATGGTTTTCATGGGGGGCACTTTGGTAACCACTACGGCAACACGAATAGCAATGGCCAAGCAAATTACACCTACCAGACGAGGAGAATGTCCGATGAGGAAATCGAACAGGTCTTCAAGAAAGTCTTTGGCACCATGAACATTAATGAGCTTTTTAAGTCCAATGTGTTTGGGCAGGTAAACCCGCAGTTTTATACTTTAGCAAGTGTGGCGGTTGTGGGGGATGGGGGCGCACCGCATTGCCTGCGTCTCATACCTGCAGAAATGAACACAACACATGATGACCCATGCAACCTCTGTTCGTTGCGTACCACACACGTGAACTCATTTTTGTACCTCAGGGCAATTTCTCCCCCAGAGGGATGGAAAGTGATTTCTTCACAAATTTCGGAGTACCGGGTAAAATCCTCACGAGAGGTGGCGGTGAACAGGCACTTTCTTTTGTGTGAATTTTTACCTGCACGATGCGCTACATCGAAGCGGCCTTATCGAAGCGGCCTCATGAGAATGACCCCTTTTCCCCTTCGCAGGATCCTATCGGAGCAGCAGTGACAATATAAAACGTAATCCCCTTGGCGTTGTTTTGTGACATACATTCATGCCTACGACGGGGTCTACTTATCACGTGCAACCACTTCTTATCACGCCCCACCACTTCTTATCACTTGCCCCCCCCTCAGAGACGAACATAAAAACGGAGATCATCCCGCGCGGAAACAAAATAATTGAAAAGACGACGAAAATAATTACCTACCACAACGGGGTCGTGAAGCAGGAGATCACGGAGCGGGAGATAAGCGGCAACAGCAAAGGTGCATGAGCGCGCAGCGGGAGGTGCGAAACGGGAGGTGTGCGCGGAGCGGCACGCGCGAAGCGGCAGGGGCGAAGCGGCCGATGCCACACGCGTTGACGGCGTGCTTGCATGTGTAACGTTTAAATGACATAAAGGGAGGGGGACGGCCCGTTGCGACCCCTTTTCGACCCCCTTGCGTACCTTATTTTATGTTCCCCACCGTCACGCCCTCCGCCAACACGCCCCTTGTGTTGCTGCAGTCCGCGCCAATAAACGCCCCTCCCCTCCTCCCCTGATAGAATACGATGATGTGACAAACTTTGGTGTGTTCTGTAAAAATAATTTGAACATGGATCCTCGTTCTAGTCGAAGTGATTTCATTGGTTATGTAAAAAACGAGAGAGGAAAAAATCTGGTCAAACAAGTTATACGATATGGGTATGGTATCATCTCCATCGCCACGAGAAGGATCCTTGTGAATATTGTGATACAAATTATACGCAGGATCATACAAGGCATCATCCACATGCTGCGTCGTAGGTGATCTGTCACGAGGGACACGGCGCGCAGAGCGTTTTTTTTTTTTTTGTGGTGACACAACGAGATATACTTTTCTCTTATTCAAAATGGGCACAAGCACCCCTACTTGCTAACGGGCCAAACTGCGATGAACACGGGGCGCACTTACTCCACGGACACGCGTCCTTCGAAGGACCCAAGGATTTTGCGAAAAAAATACGCAGGTAGGAAGAAGCGCCGTCCTTTCTTCTCCTCATAAATGATGCCCTTGACCAATTTGCTTTTGTCGCCATTCCAGAGGAGCTGCAGGGTGGGGGGGGGGATACGTCTCATGTAGCGGTATTATATAATGGAGGAGAAAAAAAAAAAAAAAAAAAATAATAAAATAAAATAAAATCGGAAGAATGATCCGACATATATGAGTTGTAGACCGCCTCATGGAATGGCAGTTTAGGACAGTGAGTACACTGGAAGGAGTGAATGAACGGGATGGACTCACCTCCGCTGTGTAGAAGACACGTCGGTCCTCATGCTCCACGATCCAAGTTAAATAATAATTGCTGTATACCCACGTGCCTTGTACATCGTCAGACATTTTTACGGTCCCATTTTCGTGTATGTGAAGGAAAAAGGAAGTCTTCTTTTGTAGAAGAAAATTGAAGGTCGTGATTTCCCACCTGCAATTCGTTAAGGGGTGCACCTCTGGACTCTCCTCTTTGTTTTTCTCAAGTACTCCCCACTTGTTCATTATTTTTTTTACGCCTTCCTTCCAGTTTATTAAAATGGATCCACTTGGCACAGCTGATCGCTTCAACATTTTGAGGTCGATTTTTTTTTTTTTTTTTCTCACTGTGTACGGCTCGGGAATGCTTAACAGGGGGGGGGTGCGTTCCCCTCTCCCCCTCACACTTCTACTTCCACCTTCAAATGCATATTCTGAAGGATGCCGCACCGGGATGAGGAGAGACGAACCAACTGAGGGGTGGTGGTGATAATGCCCCTTCAAGTTTCTCCCCTCCGCTAAGGTTATTATTTTTACGCTGCACAAGATGAACACAAGAAGTGTCGTCAGGATAAAAAGGAGGGTCCTTCCCCTCGTTGGGAGGTGCCTAACCGTGATCATCTTGTGAGGAGGGCGGCAACGAGGCGATTACACGGTGATGGGTGGCAACGACACGATTACACGGTGATGGGTGGCAACGACACGATTACACGGTGATGACTTGCTACTCCTAACGTGTGTGCAAATGTGGAGAGGGGACGCAGGCAGAAAAAAAAAAAAAAAAAAAAAAAAATTACACATGCAACAACGCTTTTTAAACTCGGTGTTAAGACGAGCCAATCCACGGAGCGAATCGCAACGGTGGGAGTGGTGCTTCCCTCACATGTCGCCCAGGTCCGTCTCCGACTCCACGCCGTACGTGTCAATATATTTATTGTTGTGGAGAATTTCACCGGACTTGCGTTTCAACTCCTCATCGCGCAACTCCTGCATGTCCTCCTCACTCAGGCATGCAAATATTTTATCCACTTTAAAGCCTTCGTAGTCAAACAGCTTTTTTTTTTTAACAGATTTTTTTTCTTTGTTAATATCCTTTATCCTTCTTCCGTTTTTATCGTACTTGTGTTTTAATGCGTACTGGTAATTTTTCCTCCGCTTTATTTCCTTCTGGTCTATTTTGCGCGCCCACAGGGGGGGGGCGGACGAAGTGGTAGGCCTACTTGTGCACGTAATGGAAGAAGAAGAAGAACACGGCGTACTGGTTGACCTAGTGTGCGCACCGGCTCCAGCTCCTGTCCGACCTGCACACCTTCTTCCGTGTGTACAACCGTCACCTCCCCTTGGGGAGAAATTCAAATGGTTGTTCCGCCACTGTGTCCTCGTCCTCGCTCGAGAAGCGCCATTGATAATAAGGCCTCCCCCCCTTGGGCTTGTCTTACCTCCCCGTCTTGTATTCCCCACCAAGTGGCTCAAAAAAAAAAAAGTTTGCCTTGCACCTCTTTTACATTCAGTGATGAAAAAAAAAAAAATAAAGAAAATGGCCAAGCATTTAGCCGCCAGTCCGACGTTCCTCTCGTTCATAATTTTGTGACATTCGCACACCAACAAGGGGCGAGGAGGGGAAACGCCAAAGAGAGTCCCAACAGGGGAAACTCATATGACAATAAAAAAAGGGGGTGAACTGGGCCAGATTAAAAACATGCCTCAACGGGGACGAAAAAAAAAAAAAAAAAAAAAAAAAAAAAGGGCTATTCCCCACAACTGCTCAACTCCCTAACACATCTCCTCTTCATAACGTCAAGCGTAAAAGCAAACAATCCATGCAAAGAAAAAAAAAATATTTAACGAAACAAAATGCTTCAAAAAAATAAAAAGCTAGTTCATATGCCAAGCATCGTTCCGTTAAAACCGGCACGACGTGAAATTGATCCTCGCCAAGCGAAGCGCGCATGACATATCTCACACGCTTAAAAAAAAAAAAAAAAAAAAAGTCGCGACCTGTTATGTAACACGTGTAACACGTGTAACACGTAACACGCCGCTGATCCTTACATGCACACACAACCTGCTCACCCTTCGAGTGACAGTGACAATGACAAAGTCGGTGAGATGCCCCTACCGCTCACCTCTTTCATTCATTCCAGCATTGGACCCCGTGTGCGTAGGGACATGCGATACACTTATGCACGAAGTACACACTTTCACGTAGGGTCTCTGCTGGGTGAAGTTCCTCCACGCAGCGACTACTTCTGCGTACGACTTAAGCAAGGGCTCCAGTGTATATATATATATATATTTTTTTTTTTTTTCACCTTTTCGTTATTCCACAGAATGGCTACCTATCGCTACGGCTAAAATGCGTCGAACGAAAAATGCATTTTGTTTTCTGCGCCTTTCACTTTGTGGTCGGACAAATTGGGGGAGGCTTCGTAGACCTGCGAGAGGGGGAAGTGCGTGTTGGCAGGTGTTACGTGATAAGTGATAAGTGAGAAGCGACATGTGGACACACGTGGAACAGTTCACCCACCGCTTCGACCGCCTTCCTCGTGTAGTTCGTCCCTACGCCCTTCAGACCTGTCGGGGACGGTAAAAAAAAAAAAAAAAAAAAAAGGCGTTAAAGGGGCGAACCCGCCACGTGTCCCCAAAAGGGAGCAGACACCCCCGCATGTGCGCATGTCCAGCACACCTAGGTAATACAGTCTGGTCACTTCCGCTCCGTAGTTTTCGCAAATGTAGAGA